GATAGTTTGGATGGTTAATACTGAGTTCTATTTTTAGGCCTTTGGAGTGAAAGCAGGAGCTCGTGTGCTTGGCACCAGTCAGAAATTTTCCACTCATTCCCCTTGTAGGGAAGCACTGATCTCACACTGGGCCGTCGGAGGAGGCCTTGCTCATATTTCAGTCATCCCACCATGTCATCACACTGGACTGGCTGAGGTTGGGGAGCGAGGGGGAATAGTGCCATCACATCCTTTCACAGGGAGTCTCTGGGACGCCCTTTCTCCTGGGTGTTCAACAGAACCTGGGCCGTGCAGGATCACTGCTGTTGAGCCATGGTGGATGGAAGGGTAACCTTGAGGCAGGTGGAGAGGGTAGGAGGTTTATTGAGATTCACTTCTTGCCCTAAGGAAGAGAGTTCCTGCAGTCCCCTTTATTGACTCACTCCATCACACAGCATTAATACGTCATTCTGGGTTAGCTTGCAGGAAACAAAAAGTAACTTTGTTGATGCAGAAAATTCATAAATTAGAAGAGTTGATATCATTTCAAAAACAAGCACTTAAGAAGGAAGGACTGTCGCCAACCCGCAGAGGCTGACCTTAGTGAGCAGTGCTGGGCTGAGCCAGCATCTTCTGGAGGAATGTATTAGCAGGCCACAAGAAGGGGTTAGGGGACAGCTGATGGGGAAAGCTGAACAACTACCCTAGCAGAAGTTACAGCCCCAGGTAGGTTACCCTGGAAATATAGTGGCATGCAACCAACAAAGCAACACCATGGAGATATGCAGATAGTTCCAGTGGTGGGAGGGGTGTGAAAGCAGCCAAGGAAATTTTTTTAAATTGAAAAAGTAGTCAGGAGCTGACACTGCCTCTCTCAAAGTTAGATCTGAAAACTCTGTGCTCATATCCCATCTGAGGATCTGTGCAATTTGCATCTTGATGCTGTGTCTGCATAAACCTGGGTAGGAGGGGGCCCTCTCAGTGTGTTAGTGCTTGGTGGTAAAGAGCAGGCTCTGGCTTGCCATTTCCCAGCCAGTCATGCAGGGACTGGTTGCCTAGCCATGGAGCCCCAGTCTCATCCTCCACACAGGGAAATAGAACCCAGGACCCACTGGATGGCATTAGGAGAACTAAGTGAGGTAAAGAGCTTACCCAGCACTGTGCCTAGCATAGGTAAATTGTTTGGAAAGGTTCACATTAATATTAATGTAGTAATTAGCCAGACCTCACTAGAGTTTAGGTGTTCACCTTGATATTTACATCTTCAGGTTTGTAGCTAATCTTTGGCAGCTAATCCTTCCTTAGTATGTCACTTGATGACTCCAGTTTGAAACTGGTTGGTATTAAAGGCTATGGTTACAAAAGGTTGATGAGGGTGGGGTCGGGTTATCTTCCTTTAGCCTTCCCATCACTACCTCCTAAAATGGAAAGGGTACAGGATCTATAGTCTCCCCTGTCCCTTTCCTATTTCCCCTTTCACCTCTCTTCTCTTCCCATCTGCTCCCTTTCTTCTCTTGGTTCTTTTATTCTGTCCTTGTATTTCTCCTAAAGCAAAGATGGGAGGGGCAGGCCTGGCTGTCAGTATCTGTGTTAGCTTTTTCACCAGAGTGATTCAAGTGTGAAGGTAGACCACAATCTCAACCATTGTCTCCAGCTGAGGCCTGTCCTCCTTACTAGAGCTCCAAGCCACTCCTTCCTGCAAGGTCTTATTCTCCTCTGGCTGCAAAGTGTAGGATGATCTATTGTAATTTGGGAGATCGCTGGCCAGGACACTTTAACATCCTCCCAGGGCTTTCCTGGTGGGGTAGTGTCGGGGGTGGCTACTGTTGGGAACTGAGGGAAGCATTGGTTCATGTTAGAAATTAGAGTTGGAAAAAAAAAAAAGAAATTAGGGTTGGTTTGTTGCATTTTGTTGAATTCTGGTTGTTCACTGCTGAACCTCATCTAAGTCTTTGTATCTATCAGCACTCTCACTGTGAATACTTTAATAATGCTATCTGGGAACTGATAAATACAGTACCGTTAACCCTTGAAGAATGCAGGGATTAGGGGTATTGACTCCTGCACAGACAAAAATCCATGTATAACTTTTGACTTCCCAAAAACTTAGCTAGTAATAACCCACTGTTGACCAGAAGCCTTACCAGGAACAGTTAATTAACACATATTTTGTTTGTTATATGTATTCTGACTCTATTCTTATAATAAACTAGGGAAAAGAAAATATTATTTAAAAACTCACAAGGAAAGGGCACATAGGTGGTTCAGTTGGTTGAATGTCCATCTCTTGATTTCTGCTCAGGTCAGGGTCTCAGGATCATGAGATGGAGCCCTGCCTCAGGATCCACACTATGTGGAAAGTTAGCTTGAGGATTCTCTCCCTCTCTCTTTGCCCTTCCTACCCCCTTGTACACGTGTCCATGTTCTCTCTCTCTCTTTCAATAAATACTTTTTTAATTAAAATAAATTAAAAATCACAAGGAAGAGAAAATACATGTACAGTATTGGAAATACTGGAAATTTATTGGTATTTATTGGAAAAAAATTGAGTAGAAATGGACTCACGCAGTTCAAACCTGTGTTGTTTCAAGTGTCAGCTTTATTTCAGTTCTCTGGCTGTACTTAGGGACTGAGGATTAAAAAAATTTCTTTTCTTTAAAGATTTTATTTTTTTAAGTAATCTCTACACCCAGCATAGGGCTCGAACTCACAACCTCAGGATCAAGAGTTTCATGCTGTACTGACTGAGCCATTTAGGCATCCCCAAAAATTATTCTTGATAGTAGAAACAAGTTAATTTTTTCACTAGTTTATTTCAGGTATAAAGAGTATCATGGCCCCTGAGCAAGGATGACACACAAATCTGTGATGCATTCCATATTTTTTAGAAAAAAGATTATTTCAAGGTAAATACTGAAATTTACCCTCTATGGAATACCATATTTTCTTAATTTGTAGTAACAAGTTGAATGTCAGCTGGCCACATTATGCCATGTTAGAACAAGCATAGAAAATCCTTGTGATCTGTCTGATTAGAACTCTTTCCCTGTTAACCAGACTTCAAACTATTCTAGAATCAGGGCAGATCCAAGAAGGGTTGTTTTTTTTTGTTTTTGTTTTTGCTTTTTGTTTTTTTGTTTTTTTGTTTTTTTGTTTTTTTAATTTGAGAGCGAGAGCATGAGTTGGGGGAGGACCCGAAGGAGAGAGACAAGCAGACTCTCCACTGAGCACAGAGCCCCACACAGGGCTTAATCCCAGGACCCCGAGATCATGACCTAAGCCAAAATCAATAGTCGGATGTTTAACCAACTGAGCCACCCAGGCACCCCAGGAATGTATTTTAAAAAGCAAAACAAAACAAAAAACAAAAACAAAAACAAAAAAACAGAGCATAAGAATACGCCAATTCTAAACACATTTAGATCCTTTATATGGAGAAGCCCTTAGGATCTATAGGATGTTATCTAGTTGCAAATTAAATGAAAGGAAAACAACAGAGTTATAATAACAACTAATATTTATACAGAACTTCTAAGTGCCAGGCACTGTTGTAACTACTTTGCATATATTAATTTCCTCAGCCCTCATTATGACCCTGTGCAGCGGGCATGGCCTAGAGACAGCATTGCTTAGTGATTAGGAAAATATCTACTCTCAGGTGTGATTCTAGCCTTCAAATTCAAGGAAGGCAAAGATACTATGGGATGGAAGGAGTAAGCTTCATGAATAAAAGGGGGGGGCACTGTCCCTCAAAGGATATATTATTACTACATTATTCTTAAAAGAACCATGAGCTAAGAATTACTGATGCCTGTGACTATAAGAGCTCTCAGTTTATTATGCAAATAGAGTTTTACTTAGGTAGTATGAAATTATGACATTGCATACATAGCAAATACCCTCTGGATGACTTGAGACTGTCCGTCCCATCAACCCAAAGTAGTACATGTGTTACCCAGATCTATACATAGCAGGCACAAGCACAAGATTGTACCAGCTGCCTATTTTCATTTGGCACGGGTTCTTTGGAGGTGCTGAAATCAGAGTCAAAAGAGGTTAAGAAAGAACATTCACAAGACCCTGGTGATATTCACACTAGATATCTGGTTCACATTTTAGCTTCATTCCCTTTACGAAAATGTTTACTCTGGGACTACATTCTGCAGAGGGAAGAGACCTTCTGTGAAGGCCTATATTTTTGGTATCTCTAATGTGAAGAGGATTTATATAGCACACCTTTCCTCGTTGTTATTATTAGTAACAATGAAAGCATAACAAATGTTACTATTTCTTGTGACTCTGTAACCCAGATTACAAATTCAGCATGTCTTCGGTACTCCTGTTTTATGTCAGAGAAGACATATGATTTGAAAACAACTTAGCAATCATTTAATTACAGATGGTATCCTTTGTACTTCATAGCACTTCCAGTGGGACTTCTCTCTTGTTTCTTCTGGTGATGTAGACAGTGGACAAAAAACCTTGGAAACCTTAAGGTTTGGTGTTGGTCTCCTCCAGAGAAAAATGTTTCGTGTTAAGTCTTCTGCTCATTATTTGTTAGGCAACCAACCATGTATGTACTGAAGAAAGGGTAAGTGTAAGGGACAGTTGGTAAAATAAGCATTTGCCCCTTAGGAGAAATATGGCATGGAGGTTTTCATGATCAAAAATCTCATACTAGCAATAATGATTAACAGTGTATGATAATACATACCAGGTGTGCATGGCAGAGGCGTGCAAAGAAGTTTTGTGGGACGAGGTATACAAGAATACAATCAGAGAAAAGCACAGCCATGGATAACACTATTATTACATTGCAAAATTTGTGATTTGAATGTGATACAAATGAATGAGTCATACATCGTTTTGCAATTTTTTTCTGTTTTTCTATAATGAAAAAATTACCTTCTTAAAGGCTAGACTTATAAATATTTGCTTAATATGATTCATTAACTAAACATGTGAAAGTGCTTATCTAGCATAAAACTAGGGGACTCTTGGTATCCGTTTTGTTTTTTCAGAGTGAAAGTGCCCTTGTGAAAGAAAAAGAGCTGTCAATCGAACTTGCAAACATCAGGGATGAAGTTGGTAAGTAGGGCATTGAAAATGAGGGACATAAAGAATGTCTTTTCCTGATACCTATGAATGTGTAACAAAAGCAATTATGTCTCATGTAATCAGCCAGGACAAAGCTTCCTGGACAAATGAAGTATGTTACCCTGCACAGTGGTGGGTTGCTGTAATATTACAGGGAGCCATAATTTTTATATCTCTGGTATTGTAAAGACAGCTTCCAAACAGTTCACAGTGGAATTAATCTGGCCTCGACTCCGCTCTTCACAGGTGGGAGCACACATATCCAGCTACATGGTGTGCTGTGACCAGCACCCCTCCATCTAGGTACCCCCGGGGCAGACAGAGCTCCAAAAGGAAGCAGTACAGCTTTGCTGGGTAACGTGAGGTGCTCTCTGCAGTATATCTCTGCAGATATCCCAAGGCTTCCTGCTCCTGTATACTTTGCCATGAAACACTCTGTGATACAGAATGAGATCAGAAACATAAGCCTGGATGAATTAAACATGCTAGGGTTCATGTCGAAACTCCTAGGCTTTGGTGGATAAAATGGTATAGCTCAGTCTGAACCATCAGAGACCTTGTAGATGATAGGATGACCCCCCAGACAGGGGGTCTTTTACCTCTAGGCCAAAGATCAGACCAAGTATTTTCCATGTTCCAACTTCTTGATCCCATTTGCCTCTTGAGGATCTGTTCCTCTGTTTCCCCCAGGAATTGATCAGCAAAGGTGAAATTAGCATGGCCTATCCCCTGCTGGCCTGCTCTCTTCTCTTTACAGAGAACATTTCTCTTCCATCCACTGTGGTCCCATGGGCAGCCCATCAAGTGTGGGTGTGGCTCCCTTCATGAGTGAAGGGACTTGAACAGACCCAGCCATCCTTGACAGGTAGCCCAGTACCTTTTGCTTCAGGCCAGCCATGAAAATAGGCCTTGACTCTGAAGACCAGACTTCCTGGGGCACATGTGCAGTGGCTTGCATAGTGATTTCCAAATAGTGGCTTGCATAGTCCCCTCTGCCCCCCCACCTCTATTTTTTCCCCTTCTTTAAAATTGAGGGTTGTTCTTCTCTGTGAGTTTTGCAACTTCTTTTGTCATTGAGGTGGGTCCACAGTGGGCTTCTCTCCCCTTAGGAAGACCAGGCCCTCATGGGAAAGCAGTAAAGAACAGTTCCTCCTTCCCAGCCTCACCTGTGTGAGATCCCGGGTAGGGAGACCATCCAGCTGCAGAGGCTTCTGCCCCTGGCCGTTCCCTGAGGAGGAGCCGCCGTGTGTGAGCACATATGTAGGTTTCCTGAGGGAGGCTTTCCAGGAGCAGCAATGGAAAAGTTTGTGAGAGGAGCTCACAATGGGCATGTTTCTCAAAACCCATGAGTTTTTAGATTGTTCTGAGACTTAATGGCTCTGAGCATGAGCTTTGCAGGCTAATGACGCAAGTTCAGGTAGAGCGGGTTGGCTAACCTCTCTGTCCCTCAGGTTCCCCTTCATAACAAGGAAAGTCGATTACAGAGGATAATGCTGACAAAGCAGCCTATAAAGGAGAGTCTCATAACTATTTGGTGTGTAGCACCTTGAATCCGAAAATAGAGGACAAAGGCTTCCATTGTCACCTGAATTCCTCCCCAGAGAGATGTCTGCACCCCCATGGATAAGCTTTGGATCTGGAGTGTGCACCCTGACCCAACTAGATAGGCTGTGCCCTATACAGTGCCACCTCTCTTGATCTGTTCCTGAAGCTTCTGAATGCAGCAGGAACCACACAAGGATTACACTGAGTTTTGTATTTAAGTCTTATTTGATGTCTTCCCTAGTGCTAAGAATAGAACCAGGAATCATCTGCCAAATGAATAAACTGTGGGGTGAGGTGGGGGGCAGGGGCAGAAGGCCTTGGCAATAGCAGGGCGTGGGTCATTCCACCGAATACTCAGCCCAGTGGATGCTTTGGCAGCAAGTTCCTGAGCCTGCAGAGACTGCAGAGACTGCATCTGTGGAAGAAGATGGACCTTGCACTGTGAGGATCTACTATTAACTGTAAAGTCCACAAATTCTCCTATCTTGGCCAGCAAGGACCACCCCTGAAGGGAAAAGAGAATTAAGCTTATAAAGATGACTTCGAAATGATCATCTAGAAAGAGAGATTGGCAATCCTGTCTCTTTACCAGCAGCCCTCCCTTACTTACACCCTGTCTGCAGAATCAGATGCGGGTCACTGGAGCCAGGGGCCCTGGGGGGCCATGAGGGGCAGCAGAGCAGAGGGGCGTCAGCTGGAATTTCTACATGTTGTGAATTCAGACATGGAAGAGGAAGAAGCTGCCAACAATCAGAATGGTTTAGGAGCACTTACTGCAGATCCCCGAAAGGGCTGGCCTGCGCCCCAAATCTAAAAATTCCTGCTCAAGCTTTTCATTCTCAAACTCTGAATTCTATCAGTATCTCCTCCTGAGTACACATCAGTTGTTTACATCCTTGGTGGGAATAAATGCAATCAAAGGCTTTTAAGCATCTAGCCAGAAATTTGAGAACCAATGAACTACATTGAAGGAATGGGGATTTTGATTTGGGTCACGGACAAGGGAAGGGGGACAATAGGGAATTTGGGGTAGTCCTGGGAGGGTGGGGTCCCCCAGTGGAGGTCTTTGGGCAGCAGGAGAGCCTCGGGAGAGAAGCTCAGGTGGGAAGGAAAAGGGGACAGAAAGGAAAGATGCAGAGGACAAATTCCACCTGCTCTGAAATTACACCTAGAGTTGGCCTGACTCCCAAATAAAGGAAAGGAATACCCTCCTCCTTTCTTCACCTTGGCCTGTCAGCCTAGAGCTGTCTGACTCTGAGTCTGCTCCCAGCTGGTTAGATGGGCTTTCGGGAGCCAACCACAAAAACTAATCCCCTGATGTGTTTGCTGACACATTTCATATTTACAATACATTCCCAATTGTGACATGTCTCTTGGAGCTACAACAGAATCTTCTAGAAGCTGTATAAACTGAATAGTACCTCAATCAGAGATTTTGACATGTGTTATCCCACACTGATGGAGAATCCTGATTATAATAGTTTTTAAGTAGAACTTGCTGGCGGTTGATTTACAAGTAAACTTTGAGACCATCCCCTAATGAGTAATGTTTTCTGACATCAGGTATGTGGGAGATTTTTCCATGGTAACAACCAAGTCTCCAATACCAGTAGTTCTGAACAACTGGCCTCAAATCCAGGGGTTCCCACAACCCCCTCCTCAGGTCCAGTCATTCATCAGAATGACTGACAGAACTCAGAAAAACACTTGACTTACGTGTATTAGAAAGGATGCAACTCAAAAACAGCCACATGTAAGACTTGCATAGCATGAGTATTTGGGAGCATGGGACTAGGGGGGCTCAGGAGCTTCCATGTCCCCTCCAGATGTGTTACCTTGCCAGCTCCTTGAGTGATTACCAACCTGGAAGCTCTCGAGATCCTTTGTTTATAACCCAGGCTCCAGCTTCCCTTTTCCCTGGAGATCAGTGAGTGGAGCTGAAAGTTCTAAGCCTCAAGCCACCTTGTGTTTCCAGGGGCCAGCCCCATCCTGAGGGGCTCCTGTGTAGGAGCCCTAACCTTAATCACCTTATTACCATAAGCTCCGGTGTGATTAGGACTTCTGATGGATAACAAAAGATACTCCTCTCTGGAAATTCAAACGCTTTTAGGAGCTCTGCCAGGAACCAAGGACAAAGACCAATGTATTATTACAGCACACCTAGCCAAGGTACTAAGCAGTTGTGGAGAATGATTCATTCATTTAACAGGGTCCTAGGCGCTTTGTATATAGCAGCACAGAGTTATAATGTTTCGCAGCTGGTGCTGGTCCAGATCTTAATGACTCTGGCCTATTCACCCCATTTAAAGATCAGTAAACTGGGACTTTGTGAAAGAGTGTGGTTAAAACTGGAACATCTACAAGAAAAACCAAGAAGGACTTTTTCCCCCTTAATCTCAGTCCATTCATTCATTCAACAAATATTGAACACCTCATATGTATGAAGCACAGGCTAGGCAGTAACCGTGGGTGGTAGGATCCTGTAATGGGGCATCCCTCATAGTGGAGATTGACATGCATCCACCATGTAGCCACTCACCAAGCCCTGTGCCCCAGCATGTGGCTGTTGCCACTCAGAGGAAGGAGCACGTTTTTCTGATTTTCACAAAGGCATCATGTGGGTAGCTTGACCTAGTGCTATATACTGATCAGTGATAACTGGGACTTACTTGTGTCCTCCAGGAGCTTATCATCAAAGCTCCATGGAGGAGGGGCTGTCTGAAATGGACTCTGTAGGATGACTAAGATTTAGATAGATGCGTATAGGAAGGGAAAGAGCACAGTTACTGAGCACCTGTTGTCCCAGTGAATGTGCTCTGGACCAGCAGGTGCCATAACCATTTTCAGTCATTGCCCATTCTGCACATCTATGGAAAGAAAAAGTCTACTTCTTTCCTCTTTCCATGTATCAAAAAAAAAAACTTTCCACAATTTTCATGTAACAGTTTTAAAACATTTAATCATACTGATAAACTAGAATAAGCTACTCCTCTCCTTTGAGCACTTAGATTTTCACCATTTTTTGCTATTATTTGCAGTGTTATACAAATTACCTCTTTCCTCATGTCATTTTCTTGGGAATATATTCTCAAGGTGTGGATCAGTCATTCTGATAGAATTTCATGTTTGCTTTAAACTCATCTGTTTGTGAAAGATCCTTGATATTTATTCTATAAATCAAGATAAAAGATTATGGTGGATTTTATCTCAGTGTAGCTAGGGTTGCCTTATAAAGAAAAAATTCCATCAATATTTTTCTCTCCCTTCTTCCTTCCTTCCCTCCTCTCTCCTTCTCTCTCTGTCTCTCTCTCACACACACACATACCTGAGAAGAAACACGTAAAACTCAATTGTGTACCAGGGTGCAGTTTGGGATGGAGCATTTTGTGATCTAGGAGTGAAGTCCCTGTGAAGAAGCTAAAATTGCCATCATCTCCTGTGGATGT